CAAAGATCCATGCCAGCAAGGAACTAATGAATAAAAATATTTTTTAAATGCAGTGATGTGTGCAAATCCTACAAATCGTACTATTTCATTTACCACTTCACACCATTAAAGGCCAATTGAGCTTTTAATGCATTAATATGCAATAATTAATCCATACTTATCGACTTTCCAATAAACCACAACACATCCACACATAAATTTATAAAAACTCATTTACCAGAAGGGCTAATTTTCACACCAGAGCTAATTAACTTCGTAGGTATACATGATATTATATTCAGAATTAAGGGCAAAACTTTGACACGAAGTCGGCTTAGTTAAGTGGGCTTTCTTCGTCTTATAACGCCTTGTTTATGTATTACGACGTCGTTCAGTGACAGGGCTTGCAACGGCGTCCATAGATAGATTCTTATAGAGTTGTTTACTTAAAGACCCCTGTATAGCTGAAAAGAGATTTACATCTTTCTAAATGAGTCATAATTTCAAGTCGCGAATTCGCCATCCAGCCCCTAGATAATTTGTGGCTTGAATTTAGCAAGCCACAAATTATCATGAAAACCGCTTTCACTTAACCTAAAATTGCTCCTAATTTTATATTTTTAATTCGACAGCGAGGTTACATTGTAATTTCAGTATAAAATATTCAAATAAAACTCCATAGAGGTCTCAACAAAAAGCAGTTTACCACATACTATGGACACTTGACTAAATCCTGACATACATATATTATTACATTTTAATGTTAGGTAGATTTAATATAGGTTCATTTTGGTAAAATAAAATCAAGAGGAGATTTTCATAACATTTTTTTATGACTAGAAATTATCCATTATTTTTATTAGAATTTGAGTAGATTATAAATTTAATAAAGTAAAATTCATTATTATGTCAGTTGAGTCTCATTTATTCGTTCTTGCTATCCAGGACTGATTCTGATCGTAAAGCTGTAAATTAGTGCCAGTTTTTGTCAAAATATCTGTGTGTGATACTTGTACGATGCGTAGCGTAGCGTGTAACTTAATTATGCAAATCCTTTATGGAAGTAATAACGCTTTCTATATCAAACAATATTTTTGCTATATTCAGAGTTTTAAATCTACTCTATTTAGACTTATATATACAGCATGTGTATATATTTGGTTATGCTTCGTGACGGAAAACGACTCTTCAATTTCACAAAATGAAAACTGATGCATAGCGATTGCTAGCTAGAAGTTATAAGATATTTGTGGATAGGAACGTCTCGACCGACAAGAAGTCAGGTTTATCGTCATGATTTCATAGCTTTTCCGTCGTGTTGATAAACTGAACTGTGGTCGCGTCAACAACTGTTACCACCTATACATAAAACTACCCACTCCAATATGCATCATTGAATAAACACGGTAACATGGTTGTCTTAATTATAACACTAATCCCATTAAACAGAGATCTTGTTTCATATTCCTCCGCTTAAGTCAGTTTTCTTTTTTAATTAATGTAGTATGAATTGAAAATTGCATTTTTGTACATAATACGTAGTTCATACGAGGGCTGCTATTTATGTAGCCGGAACTGGCCAGTTAAGCCTGACCAAAAGTAATTACTTAGAGCGTACTGAAAGTTTCTGAATTCTCATAAATAAGAATAGATATAAGACTAACGATACATTTATTGTTTTTCAAAGTATATTCAATCGCAATTAATGCATTCGCTGAAACCTGAGTGTGTGAGATAATCACGTCCGTCTTAATTATCCAAACCATGAATACACAGAGCTGCGATATGGTGCTTCATCACCAAATGCCAATTGAAGTGAATTGAAGAAAATAATTTGTCTTTGGGAATAAGTATGACGAGATATGTAAAATAATAGACGAACATTAAACTGTAAAATAAATTTATTCACGTTGGATTCCGCACAACTTGAGAATTGACCAAAAACGGACTCGTGTTGATTGTTGTAAAAAAATGTAACAAGAGTACAACCAGCGTGCGTCAAAAGCTGTCTATAATATCTACACAGGTGATGAATCTTGGATATATGCGTATGATCTTGAAACTAAACAACAATCAACGGTTTAGGTGTTCCAAGATGAGTCGAACCAAACAAAAGTCATTCGTTCAAAAAGCACTTTGAAGCAAATGGTCGCTTGTATTTTTGGTATAAATGGATGTGATCACCAGTGGTATGATGAATGTGGCACCAGAGGATCGTAAAACGGTTAATTCAGAATGGTACACGACTATATGATAGCCCGAAGTCTTTGAAGAAATAAGAAAGAATAACCGACAACGCAGAATCCTACTTCATCATGACAATGTTAGGTGCCACACATCGGCCGAAACCACTCAGTATTTGAAGATCAAAAGATCGAATTAACGGGTCAGCCCTGACTTGGCCCCCAACGACTTCTATTTATTAACAACCGTGAAGAATAAATTACGTTTTCAACGTTTTTCGAGTCATGAAGAGGCTGTTGATGCGTTCAAAATGCACGTTTTGGAGATTCCACAATCAAAATTGAACAAGTGCTATGAAAATTAGTTCCAATGTATGCAAACACCGTTATATTATCTAGAAGTTGGTAAATTTATACCTGAAATGAAGCAAAAAATTAGATACGATGTTCTAGATTATGAATCGTTTAACAAAAATGTTAAAAACAAAATTATGAATGCCTGCGATGCTGATTACAACTCTTTGGAAAATGTATTATTAGAAGCAGTACAGAATAACGAAGTATCTAAAACGAAAATTCAAAACCAATATCCGTGCTACCAACTATCTCTAAAATTTACGAAAAAATAATTTACACTCGTTTAGATCTATCTTAACTCAATTAACTTTCTTTCAAATAAACAATACGGTTTCCGTGCTAAATCCAACACACTATCAGCTTCGATTGACTTGGTGACAGATCTCAAAACTAGTTTAGACGAAAAATGCATAGCTCTCGGGATTTTCATTGATTTGAAAAAAGCGTTTGACACTATAAGTCATGATCTGCTACTACAAAAACTATACAATATAGGAATAAGGGAAACCGCTCATAGTCTGTTTCGATCATATCTCAAAAATAGACAGCAAGTTATTCGGATTGGTAAAGACCAAAGCAATACTGAAATCCTCACTTTCGGCGTACCGCAAGGATCAATACTCGGGCCTTTAATGTTCCTAATATATATCAACGACGTTTAAAACCTAGGTTTAACAGGGGACATAACGTTGTATGCTGATGATACCAGCCTATTTTATAACGGTAGTGAAATAGACTCGATTATTAATCAAGCTCAAAATGATCTGTACATTATCATTGAGTGGTTTCAGAACAATTTACTAACTATAAATACATCAAAAACAAATTATTTAATATTCAGTGCAAAAAAGAAAAAAATAGGGCCTCACTATCCTTTATATATTAACAACGAACCCATCGTCAAAGTTATTTCTGAAAAATACCTAGGCCTAAACCTAGACAGGCATCTCACATGGCAGCCGCATATAGATAAAATAGAATCTAAGCTTTCAGCAATTATGAAAATACTTCGCGGTAACGTTCTTTGCTTTCCAAAATCCGTAAGATACATTATATATAATACAATGGTAAAACCTCATCTCGAATATTTAATAGAAGTTTGGGGAACAGCTGCTAAAAGTACCCTAAAAACATTGCAGATAGCCCAAAAGAAAATGATTTAAATGCTCTTCCACTACAATTATCTAACTCCTACAAAAAATATATACAAAGAAACACAATTGATGACCTTAGCTCAGATATATAAATACAATACATGTCTACTAGTACGAAAAATCTTAGACAAAAATATACATACTAAGCTAACATTTACAAAAAAAGGAAACACTCAAAAAAGAATAACAAGACGAAAAAATAATTTATGTTTAAGACACCCACGAACCAACTACGGAAAGAAAAATATTTTATATGAAGGAGCCCAACTATATAATAAATTACCAAATAACATGAAAGAAATACAATCAATCAACTTATTTAAAAAATCCCTTAAGTTCCACATCTTTAAAGAGTTCTCTAGTTTTTAGCATCGCGATTGTAATTATGCAATACCCGCTTGCTATCAGACACCGATACGTAATGCGACCCGACCTTTATATTTTCTTCTTAATGTACCCACATTTTAATTTTAATTTTAGTTATGTGATTTAGCACAATGCATGGTACACCGTCAAATGCGCTCGTAGCTTATAAGTTTACTATATTATAAGTTCATAATTTGTAAATCTCAATATAAGTGAATTGTATTCTTTTGAGTAATAAATAGCTTAAACCAGAAAAATGCATCGATCATAACGGCGAATAATTTGAAAAGCAATAAAACTATAACAAATGCTATATGTTTGTTCCACTTTGTTATTCCGGATAAATAAATAGCAGCCCTCGTACATTACAATAAAAACTAAATAAGAAGTAGATATAATTATTTTCAGTGGTGCAATGTGAAGCACATTGAAGCAAGCAACACAAGCTTTATACATCGTATGTTGTCAAACATTGAACGTGTCGCTACCAGAATTGTTTTGAACAAAGCACTCTGCGGCACGCGATTTTATTGAATTTCTATATGCAAAAAGCCGTTAGCGCTGAAAAGGGAACGAACGTCTGTATTGTTTAATATGGTTAAAGTACACAAGACATCCTACAGCAAGCGCACGTAACGAGTAAATTAGTTTTTGTTGTAAGGTTAACCCATTTAACAACAAATTGATAAAATAACTACTCTTTTAGTACAAAGTCGACAGATAAAACAGTTTTGCGTTACTTGTCGTTGCGATACACAATTAGTAAAGGATTGCCAAGCAAATATTGGTGAAATCTAGAACACAGCTTGTAGTTGTCATTGCTATAATTGCTAAAATCATTATGCCCCAAAAAAAATTGATTAGCCAGTTATTATAGTAGACTGTTTAATTGCAAATAGTAAACGTTGGACGGAGTATATTGAGGCTCTGTTGAGCGTAGTTGCGATGTCGTTGGTTGCAGTGAGTGTAAGAGTGGCGGCGACCGGCTGGCGACGCCGCGGATGTCGCTTCTTGGCAAACCGCTCAGCTACCGCGCCACGCGACGCGACGCGCGATACCGCCGCCTTCAATCCAAGTTCTACAATTTTCTCGAACGGCCTAGAGGTGTTAAAGCTGTCCTTTATCACATGATCGTGTAAGTTCTTTTTAAGTTATATTCAATTCTTACAACATATATGTGTATAAATTTAAATAATCCTATAATAAATCTCATCATCATCTTCCTACCCTTTTCCCACATCTATTTGGGGTCAGTGAATCAGATTTCTTCTTCCATTCTCCTTGACCACTCGACATCCTCTTTCACGCACCACGTCATTTCATTGCGAAATGGTATAGGCTTTTTCTTTTATAGCCGGCCGCTTGCTTTACCCTTGGGAATGTAATCGTTCTTACTATATAGTATGAAGAGAAAGATATTTGAAAGTTCCAAAAAGTTGAATTTAATTATATTGTCGCTCTACCAAAGTGATGGCAAAATATCCCGATCTACACAGCATAAAGTAAATACAGGGTGGAAGTAATATCGGCAGGTAACACAATACACAATACAAAAGCAGGTGAAACAATACGGGATCCTAGGCTCCCTATTAAACTTAAAAAGCCCTAATTATACGATGATCATTTGCCTTGCCGTACTACATAGATCTGAAATTTTGCCAACAAAGAGAACAGATGAGAGACCCAGCATGTAGATGAAATGCGCATGTAATGTTAAGATGGATGTGTGATGTGACTAGGATACATATGTACATTTGTTCTGAGTCTGGGTGTTCATTGTGTCCGTTTCATGTATGTTTGTAAAGTCCCCCACGATACAGGATATATTCCTACAGCGGGAGTTGTCTTTTTTTCAAAAAGAAAAAAATATATTTAAATTTTAAAAAATTTAGGGGAGCCGGAAAGTAGTACCACTTGATGAAAAGTTGTGGAACAACAGGTCATCTTGAAAGGGAGTAAGCATTGACTTACGAGACTGGAGGAAACTGGTCACGTCAAAACGTCGTCGACCCCAAATAAATTTGGGAAAATGATATAATTTGGGATGATGATAATGATGGTGATGTTGATAGGCGGCCTTAATATTAATAGATCCACCTTTCTATACTAACTTTTATTATATTTGCAAAGTTAAAGAGATTTTATATACCCAATATATTTTCAATGTGTACATATGTATGTGATGTGATGGAACTTAGATATGTAAATGAGTTGCAAATTAAATCGTGCGAGTTCAATAGACGTGTTCGTAGTCGTATTCGACAATTAAGCAACAAATTCAACGCCAAAATTCGATTACATCATACCGTGATCGCCCGCAATATGACTCTCAAGTTAATACCGATATATTTCTGTGTGCAGGTTTCTTATGGTGTTTATGTGTTTGTCGCTGTCAGTCTTCTCTACAATCGAAGAATACGAAGCAAAAGCAGGCATTGTCCTGTTCTACATGGAGACAGTTGTTGTTGTTTGGTTCGCTATTGAATTCTTTTTAAGGTAAGTTTATTGTATTATATGTGTAAGTAAATGATTTACAGGTAGTACTTTTATGTATTTAATGCTTGCTCTAAGGACATAAAAAATGAATTCCTACAACACAGACACGTTTTTTGCCTTTGAAGGTAGTACAACTTTATACTGCTCAGTCAATTTATTTTATATTTCATTTCATCAAGTGTTTATCATAGTTTTCTAAAATCCTAAATATCCTAAACACCTTATCCTTGATTTTTTTAAACTATTAATATTAGATAAAAAGACATGAGCTTATTCTAGGGTATTATACGTCCTAATAAAAAAAAGGAACCGCATAAGACATACCCAAATTACGCCGAATGTTAATATTAATTTCTATTATTATTTTGATGACTAACAGACTGATACAGAAAGCAAAAAAAAATTATAATATATATGTAAAATTTTAATTACAAACCGAGATCCAGCAAGATGCTTTCAGTTAGTTGTTTATATAATAACACAACTACATCAGTCCTATTTACATTTTGTTAATGAATGTTAGGTTATGAATGTTAGGCCAAAATACCAAAGAATATTATTCTATTGGGTATTTATTTTTTGGTCAAACAGTGGATAAGTGATGTCATTTTCACAAAAGAAGGACCTTATTTAAAATACAATTAAAGTTATGAATGCATCAAAAACTGAGAAAGACGCATGCTTCAACACACATAACCGGGCTCCACCGGAGTAATATCGCGGCCTAACTGAAAACCGGTGTCAAACAATTCGGAGTGATATCGCGGCCTAACAGAAACCCGGTGTTAAACAATTATTTCGTTACTTTTCTCTGGGTGGAGTGAGGTTACCGGAAGCCCAACTTCCCATCTATATCCATATGTGTGGCTCTTGAGTTGCAAGTAAGTAAGTACCAACCATACAAACTACCCTTTTTTTCTGTGCGGAAATTCCCTCGGATACCACCCACCGGTGGGATGGTTATGTCGGACAAACTACCCTTACAAAATTGAACGTGGTAGGTAATAACGGTACTCGTTACACGAAATCGAAAGATATTAGAAAGATAACAATAAATGGACTTTCCGACATATTTGGAATTTTTAAAGTAAAGTACCGAAACGTCTAATCAATAACGTCTCTGAATAATATATTTCAAATATATATATGGAGCAATATCTGGTCTAATGTATCCAGGTTACTACAGCGCAATAAACAAAAATTACTATATTTAGAAAAAAAATAAACAAAAGACAGAAAACAAATTGACCCTTTTTTTCAGTGTCGAAATGATCTCATATAACTGGTCAGTGACAGAACGATACAGTGAATGATATTTTAAAGTAAATCTAGTATTTTGCCAGCATAGGCCAGATGTTAACAATGTACGCGAAGTTGTGAGATATGAGTTTACATTATACGAAAATGTACAAAGCGCAGCTATTAGTATTTAAAGCACTACACACAGATTAATATGATAGTAAGTGGCGTAAGGTCAACATCATCGGCTTCTTTCTTCTTCAAGAGATATCTTTTTCTTCCTTGAGAATAAAATCATAAGTCTATTCTTAGCGTCCACCTATTAAAGTTAGATCTACATTTTATTCATATTATCTAAACTTGATGAGGTTTTACATTCGCTTAAGTAGAAATACTTAGATAAGTAAAATCTAAAAATTCGATATTATGCGACACTTTTGATTACATGTTTTTTTAATCAAAAAGTAAAAACAGACACGTACGACTTCAATAATATCGTTTATTTCTTCTCACAAAAAAATCTTATTTAAGCACTTAAAAGTGAAATAAAACTCCGATTATTTATTGTGCAGTCAATTATCCTTTTATATAAAAACAATCAATAATCTTATTAATCTTATTATATTTAAGTAAGCAGTTACTTAAATATAAGTGTTATAGCTTTAAGTGTTCAATTGTTCAAAGTTCTGGTCACTCTTTTCTATACTCTTTTACCGTTTTAATAGGAGGAATTCTTATACATATATCTGTTACGAGGGAGCGTTTTTATGTTCGCGGAATGTGGGATAAGGGTTGGAAAGTAAAAAAACCAAATTATTTTTCCTTTTCAATATATTCACCTGCAAGACGGATACATTTTTCAGATCTTTCAATTAATTTGTTTATACCCTCATAAAAAAATGTTTTCTCTTTGTCTTCAAAATACGCCGAAACTGCCTCCTTGACTTCATCATCGTTGGTAAATTTTTTACCCCGCAGCTCTTTTTTCATTTTTGGAAACAGGTAATAATCGCTGGGGGCCAGGTCTGGGCTGTAGGGTGGGTGATTCAAAATATCGAAGCCTACCTTATGCAGGCCAGCCAACGCAACGCGGCTCTTGTGGACGGGCGCGTTGTCGTGCAAAAGCAGCACACCTTTTGTCAATTTTTACCGGCTTTTCTCTTTAATGGCTTCTTTGATATTGAAGCGTAGTATTCTCCGGTTATAGAAACACCTTTATCTTTATAATCGATCAATAATATTCCTTCTGAGTCCCAAAAGACCGTTGCCATGAGTTTCCCAGCTGACTGTGACACCTTAAACTTCTTGGGAGGTGCTGTTCCCTTTTTATGCCACTGCATGGAGTCTTGTTTCGACTCAGGTTCATAATGATTGAACCCAAGTTTCGTCTCCAGTAACAATTCTACTCAATACAGCATCCTTGTCTTCATTACAAAGGTCTAAAAATGCACGTGAACACTCTACGCGCTGTTGTTTTTGCGTCGGCGTGAGCATTCTCGGCACCCATCTTGCACTGACCTTTGTCATGCCAAAATGATCGTGCAGAATTCTAAAAATGGTTGTATTGGATACTCCAACTATTTCTGAGAGTTGTTTCTTCTTTAGTCGAGCATCGTCGAGTATAATTTTTTCGACTTTTTGGATAAATTCTGGCGTGATCACCTCGATGCTCCTGTCCGGCCTCGGGTCGTCTTCAAGAGATTCCCTTCCTTGTTTAAATAAACTGTGCCATTTGTACACCATGGTTTTTCCTGGACAAGAGTCCCCGTAAACCAATGACATCTCATTAATTATGGTCGCAACTGATTGTCCTTGCTTGGTAAGGAACTTTATAACGGCACGATATTCGATTTTTTCCATGTTTCACTTTTCACTCCCGATTATGTTGCTTGGTTGACGATAACTCAAAGACTAATTGTCTAATAACAATGAAACCTGGTATTTATACTAATTATGAGTCACTGAACACGTGACGATTCTAATGAGCCTAATCCCCTCCAACCCTCTCATTCCGCGAACTTAAAAACGCACCCTCGTATTTTGGGTACGGGGCAAAATATATACTTTTACGAGTTTACCTCGCCTTACCAGTTAAGAGTTAACTGGTAAAAGTTTTGAAAAATCGTATTTTCTAATTCAGGTCTCAAGAAGCTATGCTCAACAACCTATTCAACAAGTTTAGCCAAGTTTCGATGCCAGTTTATTGTGTTTACCAAGCTTCAAGTGTTTATCGTTTCGATTAAATAGAAAGAAATCAGTATTGCTTTATTGTGTATGTTAAATGTTAATAGCTGCTGCAAATTTTCCTGCCGCGATTTGCATTTAATCAATCCTTTATCAAATTTCCTCGTCTATCGTTATTGTGCTGCGTTCTAGGAGCGGAGGAACTAGAATTCTACATAAATAACCAATATTAGTTTTTGATGGTCGCAGAAACAAGATATTAAATAAAAATCCATGGGAACACGTAACCAAGTAGTTTTTAAAGGAACAAAATATATTATTAATTTTAATTTCAAATTATAGAGAATCATCAGGATCTTCACAAGATATTTGTAATGTGAGTTATGTTATACTATATTGAATACGCTTTGTAATGCTATAAAGCTAGCACAAGAAAATGCACTACAAAAATGCATTTCCTTGATTACAATGTATCAAAATGCAATTATATGCATACAATTAAAACCATTCAAAATTACGTCAAAATCATACTTCACTCGATGTCTAAAAATGTAAAACATATTAATTTAAGTCACATAAAAATATACGTAAAACCCTGTTGAAATCGAATTGTTATATTATCGCTACCTCTACTTCACGTAACATTTTCAATCATTACGGTGGCCAAACAAAAGTAAGTACCTAAGTAAAAAAAAGATCGAAAAGTGATGTTTGAGTTAACAAAAACAAGCCAAGTAAACTTCAAGTAAACTAAAAATCTCTTTGTTATCGACCTAATGCTGAAAAGCTAATGACATAAGAACAAAGAACACAAGACACAAGGGTATAACTTCGTGCCAGGGACTTTCCTTCTAACTCTCTCTTACTATAAAAATCACTACAATTTAAAGAGAAAATAAGCACATATATATATGTAGTTTCAAAGTCAATGTCTAATTATAATCCTTCAAATTACATGGATAATTTAATTAATGGAATTTATCCATTATTCGCTCTGCGAACCGTACGATGTATTAATTTATCGGAGTTTATTGGTAATTGGTAAGTATCTTCTCTGTTTTCTTAGGAGATTCTTTAAAATTCCCAACATTCTTCCTATGAAAAACGCAGTGCCAATTTTTTTGTCCGGCCTAAAGCGCTAAATGCAGCGAAATTAGCTACAACCAGCGGATGGTGGTTCTCCATTTGACAACTAGGTAGGAACGGACGCATCGGCATCGCCTTCAGACACTTATTTTCATACACTTTTATAGGAAATACGGTCAAAATTGTCTCTTCGAGGCCATAAAACACAAAACCTTTAATTTTTGTAGTGGACCTGTCTTGACTAAACCCTCACCCGTCACCCATTTACTAGTTCTTTTCTTCAAGAAGATGACTCCAATAAAATAACTGTTCAAAACCGAGATTCGACTTAGTCGCGTTACGTTTAAACTGTCACGAAAGAAGTCTTGTGTTAGAAACGATGTATGGTTACTTCCAACCCGACATAACCTATGTAAAAATCGATAATTATATTATAAATTTGCTTCTCAACAACGATCAATTAAATGTTATTGATTATAAAATTATTTCAT